CACACACACACACACACACACACACACACACACACACACACACACACACACACACACACACACACACGCGCACGCAAGACTGATTCTCGCACTCTCACAGAGACACAGTGGAGGGATTTTGTTGAGTTGGATACAAAAGTATTCATACGTATTCAGTAACGAAGTCTACGGTGCACATTCATCCGGCACAGTAAGTCTTCCAATGTACCAGTCGTAGTACTTTGCGGCCATGTCATAGTCTCCTAACTCCGTGTAGCAGTCCGCAATAGACCCGTAGGCTTCCGTATCGCCGGCATGCTCTTTTGTTTTCTCCGATATGGATAAGACAATCATGTGGCACCCCACAGCCTCCTTGTATTTGCCAAGCCGCTGGCAAGCAGCACCGAGACCTCTTGCAGCTTTCTTCTCCTCCACAGTGTCTTTGAGTTCTCTAGCCAAAGCCAACGCCTTTTCAAACTCGTAGAATGCGTCCTGAGGGCGACCCTCTCGCAGACCTCTTTTACCACCTCGAAGATAGCTCATAAGTTCCTCCTTGCGTTTGTCCGCAGGGGCCTCAACGTCAAGCCTTCGGCCAACAGGGGCATACGATAGCCTCGGAGCATATGTTTCCACCCTTGCCTGTTTCCTAAGGTTGAGGTTGATCTGCCTTAATTGGGCATTGATTCTCTCTAGCTCCGCCTTTCTCTGTCTAGCTACCCAACCACCCACAGCAGCTCCAATCAAGGCCACTGCTTCTACAATGCATGCGACAGCAATCAAGACATTCATCCGTTCCATCTCTTCTTCGGTCTCGGGTGGACATTCTGTGACTGTCGCCATCGCACCGTCTGCGGCAGCAGCATTTACGGCAGTTTCTGCCATAGCCACCCCACTCCCATCGCGCTTCAGCATCATTGCCCCCAACACCGCAGCCATAGCTGCAAAGCCTCTCCTCGAGTAATTTCTACTATTGTCACCGACCCTCCTGCTCCCCCTCTCCCTCTCGAGTTGCCCTTCCACATCCTCTGAGCAGCCAGCTCCACCACAGTGCTCAAGGCCATCATCTGAAGCATCTCCGCCACTACAAATGGTCATGCCTCCATCACAGCTCGCGGTAGTCGACCTCCTCTGCGACTTTGTGTCCACAAGGCAAGTGCGCTGCTGCCAGCCATAGAACCCCTTCCCACGCCGCCCTAGCCCTGCAGTGCCCATCTTGTGCTGATGACATGATTGCCATGTGGCCAAAGCAGATATGCATCCCTCATTCCTCGACGCAACTCCCTCACACGGTGCTGTCAATAGCATCCCACAGACCCGGAACAACCTTGCCCCACACGAATGTGCCATCTGCGTGCCTCTGTCTGTATGTATGTGTGCCTTTCAATCACTCAACCTCCCAGGCCCCTCAGGGCCCCCTCCCCTTCGCCCCCCCCCGTTTCTCTCTCTCTCTCTCCCTCTCTCTCTCTCTCTCTCTCTCTCTCTCTCTCTCTCTCTCTCTCTCTCTCTCTCTCTCTCTCTCTCTCNCACACACACACACACACACACACACACACACACACACACACACACTCACACACACACACACAACCCTATATGCCTTCTTCACCTCAGCGTTCCTGTGGCTGAAGCACACACAGACAGATCACAGTCAAGCAAATGACATATACTTCAGATTTAAATTCGTGAGTGTGAAAGTGCCAACTGAGCGAGAAAACACTGACCTTAAATTTAATTGTTACAGAATTCATCGTTTCGTGAATAATAGTTCATACCATTATCAGTAGTTTTGCAGTGGCCTAAGACTGACCCGTCATGGAAAAGTCATTTTATGATCTGAACTGAGGACGAAACTATGACTTTGTTCATGGGATATGTACTCTTGTTTTTTTTTTGCTATCCTTTTCATGTATCAATTACTTTACGAAACCTAATAAGTCAATAATATGATAACACATATCAACATTTATCTTGAATTACTACGACCTTCTTATTTTATGTTATACTCTAGAAGATGTACATCATTTGTAATTTCCATTTGCTTCACAAACGGTTAACAGGTACCCTCACTTTTCACCCCTAGGGTCGGTTAACCTTCTCTCCACCCCTACTCTTGACAGTAATGGCTATTTACTTAGCAACTTGGGTAGTACCATCTGATTTTCAACAAGGTGAAAATCATTGTATCATCTATGCACATGTGCCTGCAGCTTGGATGAGTTTACTCATTTATATGGGAATGGCTATTAGTACTGTGTTGTTTCTTGTTACTAGACATGATCCCATTTTTCACTTATTTTCAAAGATTAATGCCAAAATAGGCGCTGCGCTTTTGTTCACCTTCTTCACTCTAGTTACTGGAAGTTTTTGGGGAAAACCTATGTGGGGAACCTTTTGGGTTTGGGATGCTCGAGACCCTTCCGTATTAATTTAATACTGCTATTTATCTATTTAGGTGCACTACGTTTTCTATTCTTTTCTGCACATGTAGCGTCTCTTTTTGTTTGTATACGTCTCATAAATATACCAATAATGAAATTCTCTGTAAACTGGTGGAACACTTTGCATCAACCTTCTAGTATTAGCCAAGTTGGTACATCAATACATCTTTCTATGCTGATACCCATCTTTCTGATGTTTACTAGCTTTTTGTTGT